ATGTGTGTGTGTGTGTGTGTGTGTGTGTGTGTGTGTGTGTGTGTGTGTGTGTGTAACGCCTTATACATTATTTTATTTATAAAGCAATACTAGTTTTCTTTATATTTTCTTTGTGTGTGATATTATAAAATGGTAATTACTTAAATGTATATAATTATTAAATATTTAATTAAAATGTAAATATTTTTTAATACTTTTGATAGATTATATATTTAAAAATAAAAAAAACTGCAAAATTTGAAAAAATATTTTGGTTTTCAAATTATATTATAATTAAACGTCGCTCAACAGGAATAATTGCTCATGTATAAATTAATATATAAAGAAATTATTAAAAGACATAGCATCTCGAATTAAATATATAAAGAGAGAAAAATAGTAACTCCGGAATTATATACATACCTTTAGCTCATTTACTTCTTTTGCTTGTTGATTACATTTTTCTTCTATCATAGACTTGATTTTTATACCTAAATTTTCTTCGCAGTTTCTATTAGCTTCTCTAATTTCACATATAAGTTCTGAAACAATATTTTATAAAAATAATATGACGATTATTTTGTATAATAATATAAGACTAATGACGAAAATTATGAATGTTAAAATATTTTGAAATTATTTTTTTTACCTGATAACATTCCAGGTTGATAATCCGTAGGAGTATTGTGTTTACATTGTGACAATTTTGTTTTTACGTTTTCTAAACTTGATTTGGTTTCAGTGAGTTCTTTAAATAGTTGACTGTTACATTTTTTTAGTTCTGTCATCTATAACATATTTGGAAGAGATATATTACATAAATGATAAAATATATTTTATATTTTAAACATTATACCGCTAGAATTATTTAAAATAATTGTAAAAAGAATAGATATTTAATAATATATTTTTGAAAAAATAGAGGTTAGATAGTTACTAACTACCTGTTCAATAAGTGATAAGACAAGCTTATTACTACGGCTAATTGTCGTTATTGAACTCCCACTCTCAATACTATCAGAATCATCACTGTCGGAGCGAGACGATTTCTCAGCGGGTCCCAGACCAGGATCAGAGTATCTTCTATGTTCCGAATTGAGTTCATCACTATTGACACCACTATCTTTGTTAGCAGTGGGTGGTAAACTGGCGTAATCTCCATTTTGATGAGCGATATGTACAGCGGATTCTAGAATTCCATTTTCTTGCAGGTTCCCATAACCATTTACGATAGTATTGTTGGCATTGGGACGAACATTTGCCAAATACTTGTTACAGTGATGCCTGTGTCTATTCTGGACGGTTCTAATATTTGGCACCGGCATCGGCTGGTACATTCTGTACATCGTTGGCAGTGAGACCGGTTGCATGGCATATGTCATTGGCATTGGCGAATAGCCACACACACTCGGATCTGACATAGCGGTGAACAGACGTTGCCCGTTACCCGGTACATTCTGCTGTACACCTGTCGATTGCCACAACATTCGTGGAGGGTACTCCATGCCAGCCACCAGATCACCCTCCTGATTGTTCTGTGGATCATTCGGCCACGTGTCCAGTATTGTGTCCAGCAGATTGTTCCTGCGGTTGGATCGTCTCTTGCTCTTTCTCAAATTATTCGAAGGAATCTGACGGGACGGTCCCGACGTATTCGGCAACCTGTACATCAAGAACGTCTTGTTGACACCAAAACATAACCCCCACGATTGTACGAGCGACAGAAATGTGACTCACCTCTGCTCCATCCCGGCAGGCGGCTCGATCCGCATCAAGAGGACCCGGCTCCTCGCGACATCCGCACGATGAGACGTTAGGTAAGCCGATTCGGTGCAGTTTTCCTCGTCTGTGACGCTCGCCGTCACGAGATACACCCTGAGCTCCTAGCACGACGATGTGACGGAGTGACAGATCGTACAATTTTCGGCGCTACATCGACGACTCGCGCGCTCGATCGTGTCACGCGTGAGATTTTATCTCAGCTTATCGACGCTCGTCGACCATGAAGGTAACACGACAGGATGCGAAAATGAAACTGTAATTGTCAAAACGGATAAAAGTTCGTCCGAATTGACTTTTCATCGTATGTCACATCGTGATGATGGTTTCACGCGAGAAACCATATATATAAGTGACCACGAATCGATAATTGCACTCGTCTAACTCGAGATATCTTTAATCGATAAGTTAGCGACTACCAGCTGACTTCGCGCAATTGATATATATATACACGTGCAATAACAATAACCTCAAAGGTGAAAAGTAAAGGTGAGAACGACAGTACTGTGTTCCTTTCAAACGGACCGGAAATTTAATTGAGGTAAGAAGAAGAAAGTGAAAATAGATGAAAATAGATGATGGCAACCGCTAACAATCAAATAGAAAGTAAGAAGAGCGACCCGATCTTTTGCGAACTGTCTGCTAACGATCTCGAACCTGCAATTACTGAAATTGAAAGCCTATGCATGGAGTGCGGCAAGAACGTAAGCAAATTCTGCATAAGCTAATTAAAAATTATCTCATTAGAATGCATACTCTGAATGACATGATTTTATTTATCTCTATAAGGGGACTACTCGGATGCTGCTGACGAAGATTCCACACTATAAAGATGTGATAATTATGTCCTTCGAGTGCGAACATTGCGGCTATCAAAATAACGAAATACAAAATGGAGGAAAGATAGCAGAGACGGGAATCAAAATAACACTCCAGGTGATATCGCCACAGGATTTAAATCGACAAGTAGTTAAATCTGATTATACCAGTATTTATATACCCAATTTGGAGTTTGAGATTCCTGCGCAATCTCAGAAAGGAGAGATCACGACTGTGGAAGGAATAATTAATAGAACTATTAGCGCATTAGAGCAGGATCAGGCTGAGCGTCGAAAACTATTTGCAGATACTGCAGTTGAGATAGATAAATTCATTACCAAATTACATGCATTGAAGACACTAGATGAGCCATTTACAATAATTTTCGAAGATATTTCAGGAAATAGTTATGTGGAAAATCCAAGAGCACCATTTAAAGACAATCAATGCACTATAACATATTTTAAAAGAACAGAAGAACAAAATCATATATTAGGAACTTACTCTGATAATGAAGATGTTTTGCTTAAACGCATAGAGGAAGGAGAATTCCTCTTGGAAGAGATTGATGGTGAAGTGATATCCTTTTCTACCAACTGTCCAGATTGCAATAGCCCTTGCGAGACAAATATGAAAACAACAAGTATCCTTTGACTATACATTTTTATACAGATTATAAATTCAATGATTAAATTAAATTTTTATTGAATATATTAAAAATAATATGAAAGGTATGAAAGTAAATGGTATGAAAAGATATGAAAGGTATGAAAAATAAATTTTAATTTATTATTCTATTAAAAAAATATTCTACTTTTTCCTAATAAATATCTTTGAAAATTTAATTATAAAAATACTAACCTTATAAGAAATATTTCCTTAATAAAATATTAAGATATACCACATTTCAAAGAAATTGTCATAATGGCCACACTATGCGAATCTTGTGGTCATAGAACTAATGAAGTTAAAAGCGGCGGTGGGATTGAACCTCAAGGAGTGAGAATCGAAGTGACGATTACGGGCAAAGAAGACTTCAGTCGTGATTTACTAAAATCTGAAACCTGTGAGTTGGAGATACCTGAGCTTGACTTAGAAGTTGGTCCAAACATCTTGGGCGGTCGGTTCACAACCGTTGAGGGAATCATAGTAGCAATGAAAGAACAATTATCTTCTTCTACAGTTTTCACTGGTGACACTAGTAATCCAGAAGTCGTGAACAGAATGAACATATTTATCGCTGAGATGGAAAAGGTTTTGGATGGTAAAAAAAAAGTAACTTTAATTTTAAATGATCCGGCTGGAAATAGCTATATACAAAGTCTTTCCGATGACGGACCCGACAACAAATTAAACATTATCAAGTATGATAGAAGTTTCGAGCAAAATGAAGAACTTGGTATCAATGACATGAAAGTCGAAAATTATTAAATAAAATAGAATAGAAAGTCTAATAAAATAGAAACACGAATATCAGAGGTTAAAGTACAAATATAATTAAAGTATAATTAAAGTATAATTCAATGACGAAACGCTCACATCAGATTACTGTCGTAGCAATTTACTGTTGAAATAACTTGTATTTTGTAAATATAATTTTTTATTATTTTTCAAGCGCAAATCCACTCTATTTTATTGATAAAATTTAATCTTCATCTGCATGCCTGGAAAAGGGGAAGAAACTTGGTAAAGTTTTTAAACGTAACATTGTACGTAAAACAGTACAACGGTTTATATAAAATTTTCTATTCGAGAATACAACATACACAATCGGTATCGCATCAAGTTTTTTCAGAGTAGGCAATCGTCTTACGACTTGCGCGCGCCACGATTCTACGTCCATATTTTCACATAAAGGATTGTTAATGAATAATAAATCTTGAAGATTGGGTATTTCTTGCAAGCGATTAAATTCCGCCCAATCTTTCACCAGATTATTTCCCATATACAAAACTTTAAGAGCTTTGAGAGCACTGACCCCTTTGATCTTTTCAATTAAATTGTAAGATATCCATAATTCTTCCAAATGATCTCCGAGCGCTTCCAAACCTGAGAATGTTTTGATATTGTTTCTGCTCAAAGACAAAATCCTTAAATACTTCAACGAATTAATACCACTGATCTTTTCTATTGCGTTCGTCGACAAAGATAATTTCCTAAGATGTTTTAAAAATCATTTAATCAATATAATTATTTATAAATGCTTTAATCGTTAATTCATAAGAGATAATGAACTCGACGTTGATTAAAGCCGCCAAATTGTTATCCATTCTATCGATTGGAGGAAATTGAAAAAGATAAATTATCTCCTTTTGCTCGCTGGCAACTAATCCTGTTTTTTCTTCCCCATCTTTGAATAGCTTCTTTGCACGTTGTCGCTCTGGCCTGTGTAATTTTAAACTTTATTTCTAAAGAGAAATGCAATTGCTTATTAAATCATTTAAAGTATATTTAAGATTTACCATATTTTTTAAAATTAAATCGACTTGTTAACAATAATTACACAAATTCTTTTAACAAGATTAGTACAGTTAGAAGAAATCGTCATCAGATATCAATGAATATATCGGCAAATACAATTCTCGATAATCAAATAAATAATATAAAAAAAAAAAAAAAAATAATAAAATTCTATTCTCAAAACGCGTTCAACGTTTTACGTTTTCAAAATTTGCCGCACGTGCGAGTTACTTCAGTTCTTTCAGCGTCCATCTTGGATGACATCTAAAAATACAAAATAGACAAAATTCAAGAGTTTACATTAAACGACAACGAATATACATCACAGTGTATACTAAAACGGGAATTCGAATTGGCTACATAGAAGGCAAGAGAAGTCGAAGGTTAATGGCAGGTCTTTAACTGACGTTTATCGCACATCACCAGTATAAAAGATAATTTCCCTCGACATTTACATCTATGCGGCATTTTCTATCAGCGATCAGGCACCTAGTTGTAAAGTAATAAAATAATCCCGGAGTAAATCAGGAACGCGCGGCGTAAATCATGAATTACGGGCAACACGCGGACGTACGTGAATCGCCGGACTGTCCAAGACTCCGAGTCCGATTCGACCAATGGCCGTCGCAAACGCGTGCCGTGCGTTGGCTCGTTGGCCCGCGGTTCACGAAACACGCCGATACGCGCGACTAGCCGTGCTTCGCATTCACGAGCGTGTGCCCGATTTGATCGTGCGTGTCCGATATCGCTATCCGATAAAATGCCAAGCCGGTCAAAGGACAAGGTACGTCTGCCGCGATAGCCCGTCATTATAATCATCGCCATCGACCGTTGTCCATTGTCAGCGTCGACGTCGGTGTCGGCATCGGCGTCGCCGTTGCCGTCGCCGTCACCGTTCATCGTGCGCGCGCGGAACGCTCATCCTATCCGGTGGACGGAAATAGTGATAGTGGTGGTAGAGAGCGCGCAAAAATAACAGAGATGAAGATAGAAAGAAGAGAGAGAGAGAGAGAGAGAGAAGAAAAAGCGAAGTCTCACCGAGCACACAAGAGACAAGGAAAGATTCGGCGGGGAAAAGAGAGAGAATCGTCGCGTGCGCGAAACAGAGAAAGAGAGAGGAATTAATTGGGGGAACAACCCCAGCAGGCGGAGCTCCTCAGCCACCGAGTCACCCGACCCGATGTAGCGTGACTCCGGTTTCTTGACCCGATCTCGATTCTAAATCGCTCGCTCGGTTGCGCGGACGCGCGCGCGCGCACGCTGGCGCTGCGAGTGCGAGACCGCCCTCTCTGTTCCGCACGACTCCTGCCCGTTCGGCTCTTCTCGTCACCGACCGGGATTAATCGCGCGCGCGTTGCGCGATCGGCCCGTGTTCGGTTTTCGGTTCGCCTCTCGCCGACGCATACGTCGCCGACGGCTACGACGACGACGGCTACGACGACGGCAACGACGACGACGACGAAGACGCGTGTTACTGCTGCTCACTCGGCCGCGCGCCCGGAACGAGCGCAATGGTATATAACGTCCTCGTCCGTGCGTTCTCACCGACGCTCCCGTTGCCACAAACCTCTCTCTTTCTTTCTCTTTCTCCCTGTAATTTGCTCCGCGCTTTGAACATCGAGAGTGCGACGCGAGTGCGAAAGCGCCCGAGAGTCTCGAAACTGTCGCGACGCACCCCGTGTGGTGCACGGCACCCGGTTCTCTGCACTTACTTCACTTCTGTTCCAGGAGACGGCGAAGAGCGGCAAGGACAAGACGAAGAACGGCAAGGACATCGACGCCGTTGACGAGGTGAGGTTATATTGCCCCTCTCTGTTTCTCTTCCTCCGTCCTGCCCGCGTCTGTCATCGCGGATCATCGGCGGCACGCGAGCCCGCCGCGTGCGACTTCGTCTTCGCACAACGTATTTCCGCACATTGGCACGCGGCCTGTTTCGACGGATATTTCGCATGCCACCATCGGAAAACGCATTTGATGAATTCCACGGTGACAGGTCGGCCGCATGGCTGACCCGACATCTTGCATCTTTTACTTGCTTTTTGTTCGCTATTACAAGTACGTCGTGCACGTACGTTGGATACATCGGACACGTCTGAATACTTGCTTCTTTGAATATTTTAAGACTCTGATATCTTATGAAGCATACTCGCTGAAAGAAGTTAAATTACCTTCATGATAAAGCTATCTGTAATACATTAATTGTCAGAGTACCATTTAATGTATAGTCTTCCTCGATTGATAACGCATTCTCTGTGCTGATATGTTTATCATTACAGTTGTGCCATTTATATAAGTCATATTAATATGCTTTGTACTTTCTATGGCTACAACTATTGATTACGAAAGAATATTTATATAACTAGTATTAATAGTATACTATTATGTTATAGATAACACCCTTCAAAGAGAAATATAATTTATGAGTCTGAGATATGATAACGAGAATGCAAGAAGTAAAACGAAAAGCTTTTCATGGTCAAAATTTATTTTTTTCAAGTGTGCTTTATGAATAATGTCATTTACGTTAAATAAACGTAAAGATTAAATAGATAGATATCAGTATGGTTTAACGTAACAAATATAGTACCTTTACATATATAATTCTTATTTTAGTTACATTAATTAATATCTTCTTTTATAAGAACATAAGCAATTGATTAGATATATGAAATTATGAATGACTATTCTCTATAGCTCAATTTTGATAAATTTTGATAAATAAGGTATCTTTTTCAAATATCATAGCTCCACGATAACAGAAATGTCGTATCGTTAGTTTTATTAGTTAACTTTTTCTACTAGATTGATGATTATTTTGCTGTTCTTCAAGAAGATACCATCTTCTTATTTGTCAACCACTTTGTTGTGAGTATTAATTCATAAAAAATTATTCTGATATTTATCAGAGAATAATTAACGTGAGAAGAATGAAATTATCTATCTAATTTGTTTATGTCTAATCCAAAGATTTTTTCTTCAATAATATTGATATTTATTATTGCTCTTTTTTGCATGTTTAGTTTTTATGTTCTAATTTCTTATATATTATCGAGCGATAAATATATTATTAGCAGCGTCTAAAGCTACAAATGTATTGTACTTGTAGTCGAGAGACTTGTGATTGATGTCGTTCAATGAGTGATCTAACTGCATACATTATTCGTCGAGTAGTCAGATAATGAAAGTTATCGCGTGTCGGAGTTGAAACAGTTCTGCGCTAGATGGCGCACCTGCGACCAAATTGTCCAAATAATCGATTTCACAAAATGATTCACGATTCTCGAAAATATTTTGAAAATGACTAATTCATAATTTCTACTTTTACAGCTATCTAATATTGCAGCTATCTATATATTTACGAGTGATTTTGATAAAAAATTTGATTAATAATGGTTAACTAATTTTTTTGCATACTTTCAATTTTGCAGTAAAATTTCTAACTTTATAATTCGTTGGTCTAATCTCTTTTTCATCTATAAAATTATAAAAAATAATCTTTCTATGCTAACAAAATACTATAAATATTTCTTGACACATTAATTATTGATTAAATTAATCTTAAACTTTTATTGAAGTCATTGAAGTTGATATAATAAACAATAATAAAAAACAAGAAATTTTTACATAACAAGAGATATAATTATTCATAATGAAAGGAGAAATAAATATATATATATATTTGTCACATATTCAGTAAAGTTTAGTATAAATCTAAGCAATAGCGAAAAAAAAATTATCACTATAGGAATTTATTGTGTCTGAAAATATCAAATTAATCGACTTTTTAACAAAAAGTCATACAATATAGAAATAATTGATTTTTGTTCATCTCTAGTCGTAATAAACGCCATAAAATATTCCAACAAAAAGCACGTATTAATATGCAAAAAGCCATGTATTAATATAAATAGATATAAGAATACAATGAAAACAATGGCAATTAGGCATTGATTTTTTTATGGCAGTTTAATATTATTAATTTATTTTGTGAAATGTTTAGTTTTTTACGATAGTATATAATATTTTGTTTAGTATATAAAACATTTAAATTTATTTAAATGTTTTATATACTGTTTATTGAAAAAAAGCTTAACTGCAAAATTCCGCAAATATATACAATATTATATAATCTAAAGATATACAAATTCAATTTTTCAAAAAAAAGATACATGTTTATATATATTTCAAATCATAAAAAAGTGCGCTTTTAAATTGACTGTTTAAATGCATCTTTTCTTCATAAATCAGTTTATCTTCTTCATATTTATGATGTTAGTGACAATGCAAATTTTTATGCAAGATAATAAAATAAAATTTAAGTTATAGAAATTCTGAGCATGAAAATTGAATTGCATGGGAAATGTTGAAACCGTTTCGCATAATTCGTTTGTATTTCCATTAACATTAGGTTTATCTTCATTCGCGCATTAATTTTACGTTTTGTATCTCATCGATATAGAATCGATATCGCATGTTAATTTTGCACGTAACGATAACGTGACGTTACGTAAATGTTTATTTGCATCGCTAACATATTTCGCCTCGTTCTCCTCATTGACAGATGAAGATTCTTATAGAATTATGTTCTTTAATTCTACTTCACTTTTGCAATATATATTTAGATTCATCATCATTTATTTCATCATTTATCAAAATAATAAAGTTTATTATGAAGATCAATTGCCAATACGTATAAATTAATCTCTAAAAAAAAAGTCAACAAAAATTTTCGTACATTTTGAATAATTATAGAATCACGTGACAGATCTCTTCCGACTCTTACATCTCTTACTTCCCCAATGGACAATTACACAAAGACGTCAATGGCACGAAATGTGCATTGAGCCAATGCCAAAACTTCTGTTTTACACACGCATACCTTCACGCACGAGATCACGTACGACGTACAGACATAGCTGCATGCGCGCAGTTATTACGGATACTTATACCATCATTTAACGCCGCATCCGCCGTCACGTGATCGTGTCAAACTTTAATTTGTCGCGTAAGGTAATGCATACCTGAAAGTTAAAAGGCACGTTCTCGCACGTTAGGAAACAGATTTTGTCAACGGCGAGGTACGTGACGTACGTGCGTGATTCTTTTTTTATTGGCAGCGTTGGCCGACACTTGACGACAGTCGCGCATGTGACACGACATATTTTTAAAATAAGTATCGCAAGAAAAATTATATGACAGAGCTCGAAGTGGCATGGCCACGATACGCTAGAGTGGAAATTGCATTTGTACGTTCGCTCGAAGTGATGCAATTTACGTCGTACATTAGCACAAACACTTTGTATATTTTATATATACATAATTCTGTGTGTGTGTGTGTGTGTGTGTGTGTGTGTGTGTGTGTGTGTGTGTGTGCGCGCGCGCGCGCGCGTC